CTGGAAGGCTGCTATATGGTCTCCCTGGAGCCTTCTCTTCTCTAGGCTAAACAACCCCAACTCTCTCAGCCTGTCCTCATAGGGGAGGTGCTCCAGCCCCCTGATCATCTTGGTGGCCCTCCTCTGGACCCGCTCGAGCAGGTCCATGTCTTTCTTATGGTGGGGGCCCCACAGCTGAACACCGTACTCCAGGTGGGGTCTCATGAGAGCCAAGTAGAGGGGGAAAATCACTTCCCTCGATCTGCTGGCCACACTTCTTTCGATGCAGCCCAGGACACCATTGGCTTTCTGGGCTGCTAGCTCACATTGCCGGCGCATTTTAGGCAATCCCTTTGGATTTCTTCCTGCTGTTTGCAGAGTTTTAATTGCTTTATGGAATAATTTATCTACTAATATCAAGGCCTGAACATCTTGCTAGGAATAGCTCCCTGGGCTGTCTTTAAAAAGATACCAATATAGATGCAAATAACAGTTGTTATGGACATAAAAATCAGTTAATAACTGATTCCAGGTTGGATAGATAATGACCAACAATTACCATCTATCTACTGTTTGGAGAACTATGTGAAATATGCTGGTGATCTTGATTTAGCTGGCCACATCAACAGAGCTGTCAGTATTGCAAGCCTTGGCCATCACAGAAACTGCTGCCGAAACTGGGTTTAAGGAAGCTCACTGATGGAAGAGGTCACTGCAGGCCAGGGCTGACGGATGCTGATAAAACAGTGTTGGGAGGTTGGTGCCAGTTCTGCTCAGGCTGAACCTTTTTGTGAATTCACAAAGGAGTACAGTCACCAGGGCTGTCATTCACACACTTCTGTAGCTCTAACTTGACTAAACATTAAGAGAGAGACAAAACTCATCAGATTTCTGACAGAGCGTCAATGCTCGTTTCCTAACCATCTGGGAACAAGGTGACTTGTCACAAGAGAGGCTTCTGGCAGTGTAGCTGAATCATTGACCTTGTAGACTTAAGCGCCTAGGGTATACAATATAAGCTGGGGTATGTAGTAAACTGCAATGCTACTTGTAAGAAAAACTTATTTATATGTTTTGGGCAAAGTTCTCTTTTTAATTCACAGTGTGTGCTGAATCACTGATATCTCTGGTTGCATAGAATCTAAATCCCTACAGAATATGTGCAAATGTACATCGTGCTGTTTTTTAATTTGAATTTCTCTATCTTACCAGGCTATTGTGGTTCTGTTTGAGCACCCTGCTCCAAATGTTAAAAGAACATAAATATTAGATATTACATTTTTTTCTAACTCTCAACTGAAGCTGAACTACAAAGTTACAATTTTGCATTGTTCCTTTGTTTGTTTGTTTTTCAATATTGCCAAGATTTATAGGTGAAATATCAACACTAAGAGAAAATATACAATATTAACTGTCTTCTTGTATTCAGCAACCTCAACCATTCTGTGATTCTGTCATATGGCATATGGGGTAGCTGCCATTCCCCCTAGTCTTGGGATGCAGACCAGTGTGGCTGAGTTAGTGTTGTGGTTTAACCCAGCAGGCAGCTGAACACCACACAGCTGTTCGCTCACTCCCCCCCGCAGTGGGATGGGGGAGAGAATCAGGAAAAAAAAAGTAAAATTCGTGGGCTGAGATAAAGAGAGTTTAATAGGACAGAAAAGGAAGGGATAATAATAATAATAATAATGATAAAAGAATATACAAAGCAAGTGATGCACAATGCAATTGCTTGCCACCTGCCGACCGATGCCCAGCCAGTCCCAGAGCAGCGGCCCCCCCGGCCAGCTTTCCCCAGTTTATGTACTGAGCATGACGTCCCATGGTAT